AGGCTTGCCAGTATGAAGCAGAACAATGGAAGGAGTGATCGTCGTAATAACCAGCAAATTTATCAAGAAAACAATAAGATCAGTCAACTGAAATCAGCTACTGTGACACCTGACACTCTTCAAAGAGGTATGTCCACTGTCTCTGCATGCAGAGAATGGTAGGAGCTACTGGTAGGTGAAGGTCTGGAACCTAACAAGGTCCAAGTACAAAAATTATTTCATATGGCATTTACTCTAGTGTGCACTGGTCAGTCTCCTCCATCCAAAATATGCAGGGAAAAAGAGCTGAATGAGGATAAACAAGTACAGATAGGGCTACTTTTTAAAAATGCTGATTTCACGTAATATTTGTCTACATGTAAAGTAGAAGAAACTCCATACTCAGAAAATACTGTTTTCATCTGCTATTAAAGGAAAGCTAAAAAGCTAACTTGTTCCCTGTTAGCCAATCTAATGAGCTCAGTAGTGTTTCACTGAACATATATCACGGGGTGTTTTTTTCAAGCTTTGAGTATGTGCATTCAACACTGACAAACAGGCATGACACAGACACAGGATCGAGCCTTATCTCCTTCCTTGGAATGCTTTGTCTGCAGTTGAACCTGTGGTGTTAACCCACAGCCCTTCAACCTTCCGATTACTCATGCCTCTGAATTACTATTGCTTTCATACATGTAAATAATCTTGACTTTTTTTTTTAACAGAATATTTAAATATGAAAGCATACCAAACCAAAACTGTATGCAGCCAGTCAGGTGTCTGGAATTATATTTTATGCTCACTAGGTTTTACATTTTATTTACTGTATCTTAATCTGAATAGACTTTCTGTAATTGCTCTTTAAGGTAACATTGGGTTTGGTTATTTACCAAAACATGTAAATACAGTAAAACATATCTGTGATGTGTATTAGGGTATATACTATGGAATATAAATTTAAAAGAAACATTTATTTTGCAGAGTAGTAAAAACCAGAATTGAATCTGGTAAACACCAGAACTATTGAGTACAGAATAAATTTCCACCACTACTACTGCAGATCCAGCTCCACTGGAAACCACAGTGACAGAAGTACTAGAACAGACCAAGCATTGGCAAACCCCAACCTCCGAACTAAAATGTTAAAACTTGCTTCAAAAAAGATTAGGTGAAGAGGTGTCCCTGCCCATGGCAGGGCGGTTGGAACTAGATGATCTTTAAGGTCCCTTCCAGTCTAAACCATTCTATGATTCTAGATTTTTTTGTTGGGTTGTTTGGGTTTTTTTGGGTTTTTGTTTTTTGCAAACACCCCAGCTCCTGATTTACAGTCTACTGTTGCTACTGCTACTACCGGAGTGCTGAAGTGGCTAAGTTTGGTTATTCAAAAGTTGCCCCTGAAGGGTTTTTTGTCTGTGTATTTGTCTGTATTTTTCAAGACAGTTCAAGTTCATCTGGAACATCTTTGAGACTAATGTCACCTTGCCTGTGGTTAGATTTCGTGCTGAATTGGCTCTCTTCCAATCATCCCTTCATGACTTGAAAATAACCAAACCAAAAAAAAGTGCAAACAAAAAAAAACCCACACCAAATAAAAACAAGAAAAAGGATTGACCTCTGGTACAATATTTTCTTACATTTGCAGTTTTACAAATTTTATGCCTAGCTTAACTAAAATGCTCCACTACAGCAGGAAAATGAGTAAAAGTCTGTCTTATCTACCTCAATTCCCTCCCAGGTAAGTTCCAGTTCCAGTTCTGCTGTTCATAAATCACTCTTACTTTAGCTTAATGGAGTTTAAAAACAAATATTTGCTGATAATTTGAGAAAGGTCACTTATATTGTTCAGCAGTGTTTGGCATGAGCAAACTTAAGTCTGAAATACATTCACTGACTGAGCAGGAAGCAAGTTCAGTCAGCTCTCCTTAGTAAGGATTTATCAAATTAATTTGAAAATTACGATGCATGACTTAGTTTAAATTTCCTCAAAGGTAAAGTAATAATATTAAAGTGGTTGATTAATGAAATAGACAGTTTTTTTAATCCAGGAAATTCCTAATTGTCCTTAGTGCTTAAGTAAGTAATTCCAATAGGAATCATTCATGTAAGTATATTTCTTGAAATACAACTGCAATTACAATTATATAATATTGCTGTCATCATTAACTGAATGTATTTTAATGACGCCACCAAAATATTTGGATGCCCCATCCCTGAAGGTGTTCAAGACCAGGCTGGATGGGGCTTTGAGCAACCTGGTCTAGTGGAAGGTGTCCCTGCCCATGGCACGGGTGTTGGAACTAAGATGATCTTTAAGGTCCCTTCCAACCTAAACCATTCTATGATTTAATCAGAAGAATTACAGTAGACCTACATGGCATACCTCACCTATCCCACTCCTCCCAATAGCAGGGCTAATGAGCCCAAGAAGCCTGTATTGCTGCATACTGTACCACTTTCACTAGCTCAAGACAACTCATTCACAACTAGTTTGTGTACCTATGTACAGCATTGCAGTGTGTCACGTAATCGTATCCTTAGAGAAACAAAGGCAATTTAGCAAAAAAGAGAACACAGATACAGACTCCACAGCATTCACTGATATTAGTGTGTCCTATGTGAATTGTGTAACACTTGTACGACACACCAATTTCCACACAATGGAATATTCAGCAGTATACAGCGCACACATGAATACAAATCTATACTATAAAGCCCTCAAAACACACCACTGAATAAAATGAGATGCCTGTATCCTGAGAGAACTTCACTTTGTGCTGGCTTCAGAAAATTAGTCCTTCCTCTCATTTACTTCAGGATAGATTTGACGATGGCCATACAAATTTCATAGCTTCTTTATACATAATCAATCATTCTCCAGTAACCTTACACTGATCTAATTCTAATTCTATAGCACCATAAAAACATGGACCCATCTGTACATGCTCATACACATGACAGCACCATATGTATCTGCTTCACATGATCCCTGCTTGTTTTAATGACATAGAAACATTTTCCTCAAATCAAACATCAGAAAATGCCTGGCTGCAGAACAGTTACATCCTCCATTCTATTTCAGAAAATGCAAATAAGTTAAACAGTATCTGGTGACATATCCCACACCTGGTCACAGTTTGTTAATGTTCTTCTTCAAGTATTTTGGAGATAGCACTAAAAAAAACCCAAAACAAAACAATCCCTAAGAAACTCTTGGCCCACGGGGATCAGATTTATATCATGTATTGTATGCCCATTTAATAATTCCCAAGAACTCTTTCTAACACCAGCATATAATGAAACTGAACATATTTTCATAGCCCACCTATAATCTCTTTATAAAACAGATTTACAGCAGATCTTAGTTCTAATGACATAAATAGCAAGATACCACTCTTTTCAAAGCCCTTTAAAATAATTATCTGACTTCAAGACATAAGAAAACAGCTATGTTGCTGTTTCATAGAAACAGACCTAAAGCCACACAACGTTATAATGAGGAATATATTTAGTGCTTGTTGAAAACATCCTAACTGCTCTATCTATATAGCTGGCACTCAACTCTAAACTGTGTTTCTAGAATTTTCCCCAACAGCGAATCATTTATACTACATAAACGAAAGCATTTTTCAGTGATTGTCAGATTTGAAGACTACAAATCTCTGTAGTTATTGCACCTTCCCCTTCTTGCATATAATCTCCCAGTTAAAACAAATGTGTCCCCAAAGAACTTTGAAGAGGTTGAATTAACAAACTGTTGAAGTGAACCAGAAGCAATCCAATCCCTTATGAATACAGAGTCTCTAATTAGCCAAAATGCTCCATTTTGCTGTTCACAGTGAGGCTGAGGCTCAATAAAAATTAAACACTAACGCAGGCATGGTATTCCCATGGGACTCACATATATTAATACATTACCACTCACCAGTCACTTTACATCAAATAAACTGAAACACAGCTTAAAATTGGCTGGCTGCCTATTTGATAAAAATGGAAAGCTATCGGTGCTAAGTATTTTCTCCTATTTTCATATCCCTAGTGGCATAAACAGGCTAAGTACTTAAATGTGGTTCCTGACAGTCACATGCTCATAATGGTGCCAAACAGATATGACGCAGGTTCTGACTGATGAGAGAAAGACACTTTCCATCCAGAGATTCTGCATGGAGTCACAGTTACACCTTTAGATCACCAATAATCCCTAACACTGGCTTTCCCAAAACCTCTAAGGACGAGGCCATCAATTTCATAAAACCATATCTGAATTTAGTTCTTAGCTTGATTAGGATGCAGTCAGCAGTCCATACTTCAGTGATGACCTTTTTAAGCAAAAATGCAGAATAATTTAGGTGGCTCCATTACTACTCTGAGGAAGGCAATTTATAGAAATGAATACATAGAATAAAATAGTTTGGAACTATGATTTTTTTTTTACTTCAATAGGACAGAGTCAGGAGAACACTGAGTGTTTATGAAAACCCTCTTTCAAGCTACAGATGTGTAACCCATGAATGTATCAATCCTATAGTTTATAAGCTCCTACAAATCCCTCAGAAAGTGAGGCACTCAGCATCTCTCTTGTACCCAGTTAAAATAAATACTATATCAACTTTTCTATTCACCCAATTAAAAAACTTCAACATTAAATATGTGGCTAATAAAATATTTAGCTTATCAAATAGTAAGCCACTGTTCATAAAAGAGTATTTCTAAAGCTGTACTACAAAAATATCATCAGTTGATAGGGCTTTATAGCTTTTTTAATAGCTTTTTTTTTTATAGGTGCTTTTATAAGCACCTCAAGCTGCACCTGCAAAACAATTCACCACCTTCAAAAAGCATGTTCCAAAATGAATGGGCTGACGTTCTGAAGTTTCAGTTCTTATACAGAAATTTTCTATTATGTTAACCTTTTATAATTTGTCTTACTCTGTCCTTCCAAGGTCACCATGACTTCCACAAATTGCCACTGGATGGCTTTAATTCTCATAAACTTCACAAATCCTAGGCTAGTTTATGCTCACCTTTCGCAGGAGGAAGCAAATACGCTCAATATTTCTCAGCCGCTCTCTCTGTCAAGAAAAAATGGGGAAAAGAGTAGGAAATTAACTGGTGTTATAAATTAAAGACAATATATTACAATTACAATGGATCAAGATCATAATTAATGGCTGCAGGGAAGCAACACACGTTATTAATCTGAAACAATAATATTCACTTCTTACCTACTGCTTGCAAGCCAAATGATTTACCCATTTCAAAGTCCCAATAAATTATTCTTTCATCTGTTACCAGGTGTAAGAATATAAACTGGGGATTCAAGTTTGTGTTAGCCTTGAGCCAGAGGCTGCAACTTCTTTCTAAGTCAGCATTAGTGGTTCTATGCAATGGTGCCAATCTATACCACAGAGACTTGGTCTTACATTTTCAGGTACCCAAGCTCTGACTTCAAGATAACTCTGAATAGGAAAAACAACTACAAAGTTGGTATGTCAGCCCTTCCTTTATCACCAAGATGGTGCCTGAGCAACATGTGATGAGAATTTAACCCATTAGTAAACATTATCTGAAATGTCCTAGAAATGCACTTTAAACAACAGATGCATTCATAAATACTGAAAGTCACTGTAAATAAGTACTGTGACTCAAGAGATGCTCTAAGCTTGATTCACAGAAAGAAGACAAGTCAAGGACAGGTTTTCTTTTAAATGGCTTATAATGAGAAATTCACTAGTAAAATCAGATTTCAGCCTGCGTAACCCCTTCACTGGAGTTACTGTGAAAGATTCTAACTGATGGGTACACTGCAGAAGGCAGGGTGGTTTTGTTGTCATCAGAAGACTATCTGGTAATATTTTCATGTAGACATGGGAAAAAATATTCTGAACAATGACCTTTTTTAAACAGATAATGTAATATACAAACATGAGAAGCCACCTCTCCCTAAGCTTTTTGGTTTTCAAATGTTTTAAATTTGCTCCAGGTTTGAGTTTTATTTCTATTCTATTGTCCAAAGAAATGTCTCTTTTCCTTTCCTTTCCTGTCCCCAAGTTTAAACTTTTTTTAAAAAAGTATAATTTTAGAAAGACAACAAGACAGTGGCAGCTTGATAGGCACCAGACAAATATTGTGCCTCTCCCTGGTGTCTGATCAGAGATTCAGAAATTTTACACTCACAGTTGCAAACACGTGAATGGATGTGTGTGGATGTGTCTGTGAAGCTGCAGAAAGCTTTCTTGCCTTTAGTAGGAAGTGAAGAGAGAAAGATAATCCTCTCAATTTCCTCTAGAATACAGATGTGTAACTGCAGCTGGCCCTGGAGAAGTAGGATGTCTATCTTCAAACAGTAGGCAATAGAGTGTGAACCAGGAAATTTGAATTGAATTCTCAGTACTGCCATTGTTTTTGCTTCCGACTTCTCCTTAATTCAGCTTTCTCTTGTTAAAAACGCTCTACCCTCTGTCATGAAAATGTTATGAAAGATACATGAGTAAACATCAGACATTCTTACAGTGTAATAAGGAAAACTATCCCACTAAATAAATGGAATATTGGCACAAGCAACTATACATAGGGAAAAAGGAAAATACTCTTGACCAAGGAGGTAAGGAATAAGAAATACCTGCTAAAAATCTTCCTTTTATATCAATACAAAATGCATCAACATGTATACTGTGCAGAAGAAAACAATCTGAGATCGTTGCTTGAGTTATCGCAGAAAGTTTCACAGAAGAGAGTCAAATCTGTCAACTGATCACAGAATACTTTGCTGTCTTTTACTGGAAACTCTACGATTAACTTTTTGACCACATCACTAATATGACTGAAACAGGGACCTACTAACTTTTTTTATCCTGGAGACAAATTCCATTACCATTTTAAAATAAGAGGCAATTACCTCCATGGAGCATCTTACAAGTTTTAGGAAGAGAACAAATTACTGGAATTTGGTACATATAAATACACATTTCTCATGTGCAGTTCTCAAGATGGGAAATAAAAACGGATAAAGTGAAGTCAAAATCAGATTACTTCCAGTAAATTCAAAACCAGATTACTTCCATTCAAGTCCTCTATAGGATTTCTTCAGATAATTTTTCTTCTTTTTCATTCTTTGCTTATCTGTTAGTGAACAGTAAACAAGTCTTCTTATTCGAAGATTCACATAAAGATTACGCTTAAAATCATTAGCTGTCTAAGCAGCCCTGCAAATCCTCTGCAGAGTTATGAAACAAGGTTAACTGGCAAAGTACTACCTACTGAATCTGGTTATCATTTGTAAGCAAATTCAATAACTTGATAGTCTGCAGAGATCAAATTCAGCACCTGTCATAGTCATTGTAATTCCCAGTGAGGTGTCAAGGAGCCAAGTTCTACTCCCAGTTCCGGTGGTACAAATCTGATGCGTGTTTAACTGTAGTCAGCTAAATCACCCTAGATTACAGCTTTAATTAACAGAGGAATGTTCAAATGCTTAAATCTGGGTTGCATTTTGGTTCATTAGGTAAAACTGAGTTTACAGTCCCAGGGTGATATTTAACCTTTTCCATAGCAGATGCAGCAGAATGTGTTATTTACTCTTAAAGCACAGGAGAATTTAGAGCCCTACCATGGGACAGAGAGGTCTAGAAATGCACCTCTTATCAAATCCCTTCAAGCTTTTGACTCATTGATACAAACTGTGTGGGAGAAGGTGGTCACCCCACGCTTGAACACAGAGAAAGCAAATGAATTCAAAAAGGAAAACTTGTGCCACAGCATGAAAAGATAAAAAGAAAGCATTAGCATCACATCATATATCCTTCAGTTTTTGAATTTCCAAATTATTTTCCTGCCTTCTTCAGCAAAAAGGAAAGCTATTAGCATAGAGTCGCCATCTGTCTTCCCCAGACTGGCCCAATAAATCAATTTTCCAATCTACAGTTGGCTTCACAAAAGACTCTACATTCATTTCCACACTCATACTTTCACTGACAGCTTAGTGCATCTCCCTTTCTTTATCAGCTGTTGCTTAGTAAGCTACTGGTTGTACTCACTGCGTGGACTGGATTACACTGATCTATTGGGCTTTTGAAGTCTGTCCGAAGTTCATCAAAGGCGATTATCTGAAAAAACAATTTTTTCAAATGTTGTAATGAATACTCATTCAAACACTTATTTTTCCTTTAGCGACTAGTGAGATGCATTGCCTGCCTTCCTCCCTTTCTGGAGAAAAAATGAGAAACTATCTTCCCCAACACTAACTAGTTAAAAAAAAAACATGGGATACTCCTACATATGATGCATAGAATTCATTAATCCGTCACTCTGTAAAATCACATCTATAGCCTTTTCAGCATTGTTGCTTTCCAGATTTCCTCCATCATATCAGCTAGAATTCTTTTCTCAGACTTCCAAATGACATAAAATAATTTCAGAAATGAATATATTTAAAGATGAAAAAAGTCATTAGCTGCCTAAAACAGAGATGCATCAGATATGCTATCCCAGGTTAAATACGAATGCAACAGCCCCTTTTTATTAGTTGTTAAACCTACTTCAGATATCAATTCTGAATTAGTATCATCTTAATTATTATTAAGCTACCATTCACTATTAAGCAAACTCCTCAAAAGATAAATCACTGTAGAGAAAAACCTGCCCTTCCTAAATTCTGGCAGGTTTTGGAATCTTACTTCAGACCTTGTTAATGGAGAGATATCAGCAGATAAAAGTGCCCACAAAAATAATAATGTTTGATAATGTTTTCTTGGAAAGAGAACAGCTGTAATAACCCTCAGCATATTTCATTCAAAGATCTCAAAGCACATTCTTAACTTTATGTTTGTATTCTAGTGATACCTTTTCTTCTGCTTGCTTCACTTAAGGAAAGAAAGCTTACTATGACAGGCATCACATAAACAGATGTTAAAACAATGATTCCTTTTTAGACAATTTACAACCCAGGAAAGTATTTGTTCTCAATAAAAAGATGATGCAAGTACAAGGTAGCAGTCGGGTAATTAGTATATGAGTGCAACAACCATTCTACGACATGTTACAGCACGCCTGCTGCCTAGCTGTTCAAAAAGTAACTAACTGGGTGTCACCACAGACCTGCTGTATAAGTAAAACACATTCATGTTACAGATATGGAAAGCAGGAGCAGAAATCCTGAAATTGGCCTGCCCGTGATTCATATAATAACCTGGTGAGAGGCTTGAGAATAAAACCTAGAGCTACAGTCCACAAATCTAAGCACTACTCCGCATCTCACTAATGCTGCATCCATCATACTGAATGAAGCACATATAAAATCAAAAGTGTGGCATTTTACAAGAGCACTCTACAGAATTCAATTTTTCAACTATGACAAGTCAAAGTGCCAGAATAAACCACAAAGGGAACTATGAAACATGATTATAAGTGAAGCATTTCTCCCCATGGATGTAGTCTCTCTACAAGTTAGGAACCAGATCTGCAACAGATGTTTAGATTAAAGTAATAGCGCAAATAACAGAAACTGTGAGAGGGACAGAGTATAGTTGTGAAGAATAAGGCTTATGACACCTCTATATGTAACATTTTTTGAACAGATCTTCATATTCTCAAACTGGGCCAAGTGTTAAGAGGGTAACAACCATGCGAGTCATGCACTTCTGTTTGTAATTGAGTATCAACATTGGCACTGACAGCATTGACACAAATGGGGAAGGATGGCCCTGTAACAGGTAAGTGAGCTGCCTCTGTTCATAGCTGTGCCACTGATTTACTTTGGGATCCTGTGCATCTCCCTTAAATTCTCTTTGGCTCACTGCAGTGGTACTTACAGATGTCGCTTTAAGATAAAAAACTGATGAGTGACAACCGGTTTTAATAATGCAACAGCTTTTCTTCTCTTGTAAATGTAGAGATAAGCTGAAATTTCCTTGGGAAAAAAAGAGTGAACGCGCTGTGCTCTTCCTTTTGGTAGTCAGTAACAGCAACCAGGAGTTTGATAATCATGAAATGACAGCCAGTACCAGATCCAGCTCATTCTGTGAGGAAAAACTGGTCTGAGACAACGTGACGAGGAACCCAAATACTGGACTCATAAGATAGACCCCCTTCCAGAAGTCCAGGAAAGCCTCTAAAGACTCACTGAACACAGAGACAGGATGATAACCCTGAAGCATGTTTAGATGAAGAACTAGGTTGCTCTAAAAAACAGAGCCATTAAGGCAGGGCTCTGTTGGGCTAGCCTTAACTAATGGAGCTAAGTCTTGAAGAAATCCTAAACAACAGTTTGGATTTCCTCATTTTTTGCTTTCTTTTTTTTTTTTTTTTTCTTTTCTTTTAAACAGCATTCCTAACTCCACAGTCAAAACCCTACTCTTTATTTGCTGGCATGCAATTTATTTTTATGTTACACATGCATTATTTCTAAGTGCATTGAAACAAATCTGACACTATTAAGTACATCATTTTCATGGAACCAGTAAGTGTAAATACAATAGTCTCAGCGACAAACCTTTTGAGATGCCTGCAAATTATGACAATGTTAAGAGAGAATCCTGCTACACAAGATACAATCCTGCTACACCTGCAAGAAACAGATTGAGGTCTGGTATCAAGCACACAGGATTGGAGGAAAGTTTCTTCAGTAAAAGTTTTGGTGTCTTTTTGGAAGGAGGCTAACAGAAACAAAATATTAAGAATTAAGGAGGATTTATTTCATAAAATTTCCATAATAGTTTACATTTTGTTAAATCCACAAGAACAGAAATCCAGTGATATGAAGATATCTATTTTAATTTATAAAAAAAGCACTTTCCTGTTTCTCAGTCACAGTGAAAAGCTTGAAAGCCTAACATTAGGCAGGCTCACACTTAGAAGGAATATAAAGAAACTCTCAAGGGGGGGGGGGAAAGGGGGGTATTTTTTTGGTGGTTTGGGGTTTTTTTTTAATCTCACAATGCTCTGTGTCCTAACTGTAAAACTGCAAAATGAGAAACAATGGAAACATCTTAGGATTGGCAGTTGCTCACAATACACTACATAACTGTGCAACAAATTATTTTGTATTACTGAAAATAAGAATAAGGCCAGGTTGTGGTGCAGTGTGGTTTCAATAATTAATTAGGAAACGTCTTCCTCTTTCAATTGTAACTAGCCTTGTGTAGCAGTTTAATGCCCTAGCGCATGTGTGGCCAAAAAACTACAAAAAAACAATTAACTAACTACTTGCCGCCATAAAGTATTTCACAGTACACAGGAGGTGCAGTATTCTGGCCATACTCCAGAGAAACAAGCTTCTGCCCATCTACATTTTACCTGGACGCAGTAGAGCTACCTGCTTCCCATACATCAGCCGATCGGAGTTGCTGAATGCTCTGGGACAGCATCTGGGTATGCTCAAGGTCTGTTTCACCTCCGAAATTGCCATACTTACCAGCATCTTGACAGAGCAGTTCATTTGAAGGCAAACAATACAACAGATCCAGTCAGGGCACTTCACCATGTGAATTGCCATCATTTCACCTTTGTAAATGAATGTATTTTATAAACTGTTCAATATCTTTTAGTTATCCAATCTAATTTGATCCAGGGTGGCAATTAAGACTAAAACATACATTCACATGGACATCAGTGACACCATCTCTCCAAAGGCCACACAATAAACAGACTGTTCCAAAGAAAAGTGACTAGCTTCTAGTCACAAAGCTAAACAGATAGCTAAGCCGACAGCATTCTGGAAACACATGCCAGGGACTGATCTTACACAGAGGAGAAATGTATTTCTATTGGTAAATATCAACGTTGTAAACAGCTTCACAGAAAGAGAATAAGGACCATTTGATATTTATTTAGGAACTCCAAGAAAACAAAACAAAACAAGTAATCTGTTTATTTGCAAAGATATATCAGGAGAAAAAAAAAAAAGCTTATTTAGCAACAATTTTTATCATTACTGCAGAAAGGGGCCAGAGATGGAATGGGCAATGGATATTGAACTACCTTCTGACTTGGAGAATTTTCCCTGTGATTCCACATTGCAAAACACTGCAGGAAATTTGTTCTGCCACCACCCGAGCTGTGCTTTTTTTTCCTGTTGATAGAAGTGTACTTGTGGGTGTTATCCACCTAATAAAACTAAAGGTTTATAAAAAAACTGATTGCATTCTCTGGTGATTCACACCATCTGCAAATCTAACTCCAAGTGTAAGTCAGCAAGGAGTTTGCCCCAGTTTAAACACATACTGAACAGATGAGATTGTGATGACAACGTATTTTTCAGAACAGCTACAATTGCAATGATATTTATAAAATTTGTTTTCATTATCCGCACTCTCTGTGCTCATCTCCAGACAATAACAGCTTTGAATAATGAAGTATTCACATAAGATTGAACTTGAATTTTGTTTTCTTCTTATGCTTATGCACCCATTGAACTGAAAATAGGTAGGAATGAATTATGATATCTCATTTTTAGGGAAGATACTTTTTTTTTTCTTAATCACTGAGCTCTAACAGAAATATATTTTAATTGAGAATGTGACGTTTTAGGGTGGCAGTGGAGTTGGTGTGGGTGTGAATTCAGTGACAGCAAAGAAGTTGGATATTATTGCTTATTGGCATCTCAGAAAAGTTAAGATAAAACAGAACTTGATGACAACCACGCTAACCACAGAACAGAACAGTAACACTGAACATATGTTTCCTTGCCACCACCCTGTCAATGTACCACAATCCCATCTTGAAGAAACTGTCTTTAATGGTTCATTTAAACAATTTCTCTACCCCACCACTCTCATACAGAGCTTTCACAGCACCCATATGGCCAGTTCATAGGCTGTCTGCAAGTCAGCACGTGGACAGAAGGCGGACAGGTTTAAGAGCATGCTGTGCTCCTAAACTTCATGCCTGCCCGTCAACTGCTATACAGACATACTTACTGTGTTTGTGAAACAGTGCTGAACATTTATCATGTTTGAGCCATGTTGATGCAAGCTGGGTGGGTTACTTTGCTGGATTTTGTTGAGGAGAAGCAGGAACAGACAAAATGTGATACACAGTCAGTCATGTATGAATGCAAAAGGACCTGAAATTGAATATAAGTCACTGTCTTGACACAATAGAGTACAGAGAGCCCATAGAGAGATGCAGAGAACAGTTACATCGACAACGTGACAGACTGAGAGAACAATTTTTGCTACTTCATTCTTATCATGACATGACATGACTCTGAACAAGAAATTTAGCTATATGGTTAGTGAACATTTGTTCAAGATGGTTGTTCCTCTTCCCTCTTTCTTTTCTGGTTGAACTGATCTGGTTCATGCTACCAAGCAACATAAACACAGCAAGAAAAACCCTTTCCCCTCCGTAAGGGTTCCTCTGAGTAATATAATTGGAGATCTTACATTACTCCAATACAAAAATTCCCTCTTTAAAAAGTGAAAAGCAGAGAGTTATACTGATCTGGAGATTTTTCTGAAGGGTTTGAATGTTAACTCCAAGACTTAGAACAAAGATGATTGTTTTTCACACCTCCACCACGATCTCCAATGAGAAGGCCCATTTGAGCCTAAGCGGCTGTTGGTCACAATACTTTCAATATTCTTGTAATACCCTACAAATCTGTAGAACAATTTTATTAATGTTATAGTCTCTGATATGGCCCAGAGACCATATATGACACATCAGGTAATGTAGCTGTGAGATTTAAACTGCTTTTTTAAGTACTGTCTTCCTCCCCCTCACCAGGACCACTTTTTGTTAAATTCAGTACTCATAGCACCACAGATGACTGAAATCAAGTCTGCACCAACCCGACAATCTTCTTTTAAGCACACCATAAAGTGTTGATATTAAACTAGGAGAAACAAATGAAAAAAAAATCGTTGGAGATAATTTTGCCAGAGATGCTAATGAATCCTGTTATACAATACTAAATGACACACAAGTACACCAGAGAGCAATTTGGCCTATTTCGGTTCATTAGCGCAGGAGAAGGATGGAATGCAGGTTGTATTATGACAGGAAATATCTTTTTTTTACTTGCCAGTGCTTGAGTGTATTATTCATTATTTGTTTTTACTAAACGTCTGATGGGCTGGTGTTTTTAAGACCCTAAAACCAAGGGCTTATTGTATTGTAATAAATCAGTGTCTTCCTACAACATCTTGATTGCCACTGAGCTGCACAGCACAGTTTTCACAGCCTCTGAAGGCAGAAAAGACAGAACTTGACTTCTACTGCAAAAAACACAGCCTACTGTTGCACTCTATCATCTACCTGCAGCCCCTCAAAAAAGGCCATCAAATGAAAACATGAAGGTACAGTGATAGGAAAACATCCAGAATGTGTGCAAATGCACTTTATAAACATTCTATAATTATTAAATAGAAAGTTAACTTCATGGAAAGGATACAGGCTCAGTTAAGAATATGCACAAAGCTTTTAGACCATACCTGCATTTCTTTGTAACAGAGGGGTTATCAGCTGACTGACTTTTAAAAACACCTGAAGCTGAGCAGACATGCAGCAAAAGACTAGTTCCCAGATTCCCTTCACAAGTCACTTTCTGTCTCCAGAAGAGGGGACAAAGTAGACTGTTACTGCTCAAGTTAATTCAGGAACAATGAAATAGGCTAAACACAGAGGCCAAAGCTGCACAGCATCACCATATTCACTGACAGAAAGCTGAAAACCAATCTTTGTTCTAAGTCTTGGAGTTAACTTTCAAACCCTTCAGAAGAATCTCCAGATCAGAGTAACTCTCTGCTTTTTACTTCTTAAAGACGGAATTTTTATATTCTTATTTCATACTTACTAAGTAAGATAAGCCTTTATGGTGCTACTCACTCACATTCTTAACACTAGTGGTCTGTACTCAGTAATGGATCTGTACTTAACACAGCTCATGAAGGTTTTCTGGTAAGCGTCAGAGCCGCTTTGTGTTCAGGTTCACAAGTTCAATCCACCACCCACTGAAAGAGCACAAAATTATCCATTAAGGTTACAACTGTAACTATAGTAAATTCAGTATTTCAGTGAGCCAGATACTAAAGAGTACTGACTTCAAAATGTGCAATATTACAAGTTTACAAAGCTACTCTCACTCATGCCCCTAATGACTATCTTTTTGCGTGTAAAAATATCTCCAATAAAGAAATAATTTTTCATAAAACAAAATGCTTCAATTTACAGGGGATCCAAAAGTGTTATAGTAGAGATGCACTGATATTTACTTGCTCATATAGCTGCTCTGTAATCATTAATATCAGTGCTATGTAAACAATTCAGGGATGGAAATGGAGAAATACATACTGAAACTGCAGTACTGGAGGATTTAAGGCAGCAGAAAGCAAAACTTAAGCTAAAGTTTGACCAAGACACAGAAGCCAAAAAAACACGCAAACTTTCAAGCAAATGTTTTAGGTCTATTTTAGCCTCCTATTTCATTCAGAAAGAAGAGCTACCAATGATCGTGCATACTAGCATTTTGTGAACTAGCACAGGCAATCAGATCCTCATTTTTAGTAAGAAGAGGATTATGTGTACATATCAGAGTTTTCAAAATAGCGTATTTTCTCCAAGTCAGAAGAACAAGTATTTTCAACATTTCCAATAAACTGATTCTGAAAGAATTTCCAGATTTAACACAAAAAGCAAAATTTTATTCCAACACTACATTTTTGCTTTGAAATTTATTTTGGTTTTAGGAAAATCAGATTATATGACATAGTGCAATAAGTCATTGTATTTATTTTAAAGAAAACACACTGCTTAGTAGAGATTGAAACATATTCTCTTACTTTCTAGATCAAAGTATCTCGTTTGTCCTGTAATGAAACAGTAATGCTAGTAAATTTTATCAATTTATTGTCATTTAATTGTCAAAACAGAATCCAGGAAAGACAACTGGAGGGGACTTCCTGGGCTGTCAGCTTCAGCCCCCAATTTCTGCAGACACCACATCAGAAGATCCAAGTGGTAAAACACCAAGCTTATTTTTAAAACAGAGAGGAGGCATATGATTTCCCTTTTCACTGCTCCATTTGGAACACAACACAAACCTGCTGTGAAAGTTGGGAACCTTCTCCTAACTTTTAAATTTGTTCAGAGTTAACACAAACCATGTATATCATTGCCAAGACTGCTTCATTACAACAGCTACTTAGTAAAATGAGAAAGTTTTATTTTGAAGGAACTTGCATCCAAATTGGCATGACTCCAAAACCATTTGTCTTCAATTCAGCAGAAACTCCATCCTAGCTGATGCTAACTGACATTCATACAAACCCACACATACACACACAAATCTTATGCATTACAGCCCTTGTATGTGAATTAATAACAGAGCTAAATGATGCTGGTACTAAATCTCTACTTCATTTTTTTCCTAAAATAGTGGATTAACTCTTTGGTGTCTGGAGCTTTTTATACTGACACCTGCCAAAAGAAATTAGATCTAACCAATCCATTTTCTGTAAAAGCCAAAACCTTTTTCTTGCCAAATTTCTTTAAGAGCTTTTATACACATTACGTCTATCACGTTACTGCATTATGAACTCCTCATTTCTAACAGTAGGGAGAAGAAGGAAAATCCTTATGAACATGAAAAAAGGCCATTGATAATGCAATAGCACAATAATGAGTGGCAGAGAAACAAAAAACAAACAAAAAATGGTGAAATAAGGTTCCTTTTTCGGGCTTCACCTGCCTATCCAGCAGGCTCAGCTCTCTGTGGCTGAGGGGACACCACACTCTCCCCTTGCCAATCTAAGTGGGGACCGAGTCCAAAAAGAACTCTATGCCTGCTACTGTATCCCAAGGCAAGTGTTGTCCCT